AAAGTCGAGTTTCTTGGTCAGCCTTCAATCGAATAAACCATTTGTGAAAATCCTCTTCGTAAGAAGGGAAACTTCAAAATCGAGAAGACCCGGTGGACCACACATCCATAATAGAAGAATGTTGCAGTGCCAAAGTCTCATTGTGCTTATACGGGAAATGGAATTGGAGATTCACAGGTATATTGAGATGGTCCATGAAACTGGGGTCCAGAGAGAAATAGTTGCATTCATCCTCGACAGCTTTCAGTAAATGAAAAAAGCAATTACCAGAGCGCGGATCATCCCTAAACTTATCAAAAGCTGCGATGTAATCGCTGGCTGAATATTCAGACCTTTTGGACGCCATAAGAAACGATGGATCAAGATCGCAAAAGGGTTCAAGAAAGGATTTTTTAGGGTTAGAGAAGAAGACGCGACGGTGAAACAAGGCTTTTACAAGAATAAAGGATGAAGAAGACGATTTGAAAAGTCACAACTGTTCGAGGAAGATACGAGGTGATGTGTCCAAGGGGTATTGGATGAAGAATTCGTAGAGACTGCTCGAAAGGACGTCAAAGGACAGAAAAGCATAATCATCGCCTATGGATTCGTACACAGACAACACCTTTAAAAGAAATAAATTCAAATTTATTCCTTTTAAAAGGGGGCATATGTTAATTCCCAAAATTACCTCTGGTGGGAGTGGGCCGTTCACAAGTTACAGAAAATACAAAGTACGGCCCACATGGCGAAAATCCGAAAAAGGCCGCAAGTTAGGCCTAGAGGCATTAAGAAGACCTAAGGTAATTATTGACAGGACACGTCATAGAGGTGTCGACAAGTTTAAAATCACGAGCCTTGCACATGATATCGACGAGTTCAATATCACGAGCTTTGCATGTGACGTCGACAAAATTCAAAATCACAAGCTTTGCACGGAATCATGGTAATACGTGGCGAAAAATTCATTTACACGTGTAAAAAGGTAAAGTTATGATCGTGGGCGTGAAGAATGACAAGAAATAAAGAGACACGTGGAAGAAAATTAGATATTACGTGATGCTCAAGGAGCGTAAGCAATGTCGACAAGTTAGAAAACGGTTAAAGCGTGAAACGTAAGGAAGTGGAAAACGATTTTCAAGGAGAAGTGTTCGGTCAACAGTTATCAAGCTACTCTATAAATACTCAAGGATTTCCAACGTAGAAAGGACTTCTTCGAAAACAACACAACACATCTCTTATTTAGCCTTTATCCTTAGCGCATTTGGAGTAGCTTTAGTTGCAACTTTCAGATTCTTTGTCGTAGATTCAATTCCGACGAAGGTCTTTATCAGGTTCAGCATTGTTGATTAAATTCCAATGTTGTGCCACCAGTTCAGCGTTGTTGATTAAATTTCGGCGTTGTGCTTAGAGTATAGCTGTTGATTAGATTCCAGCCATATTCTCTCAAGTTACGTCATTGATTAAATTCTGGCGTACTTTGAATGTATTGTCGAGTTTGGCATCATATCAAGTCAAGGTGTAAGATCTATTGGGATTAATAAACGCATCTGACATTCTCTGTCCAAGCTTGATTCAAGTCCCTGGTTTCCTCTAATAAAATTCGAAACGCAGCGTTCGGTGAAAGATTTTCGACGGAATAAAAACCAGCGAAACAAGTTCCTCTTTGTTTTCCCATGAAAATTTAAAATTTTTTCGAAACTTAAAGTTTTATGGAAAGTTACATATTAATAAATGTCTCGACATTTAAATGGTACCAAAGTTTAGGATATTTCGAGTGAAGAAGTCTAAGTACATGCACCAAAAGTATCATATCAAGCAAAGAATAAAATAGTATATGTTAACCCTGAGCACTCTCGACAAATAATTTTCAATCTTCTCTCTCTCTCTGCATGAGCCCCAAGAGTTAGAGTGCATGATCGTGACACAGAGAGATAGTCATGGCCACGGTTCGGAACCGACCGGTTCCGGTTCGGAACCGGCGGTTCGGAACCGGCGGTTCCGGTTCGTGGCCAAGTATGAACCAGACGGTTCCGGGCCGGTTCCGGTTCCGGGTCGGTTCATAATTTTTGTTTTATGTTTTTTTTCTTTTACTTTTCCTTTTCTTTTTTTTTTCTTTTCTTCCTCCGCCGGCCATAGCCGGGCCGGCGGAGGTCGCCGGCCTCGAGGCGAGGCCGCCCTCGCCGGCATCGGGAGAGGCCGCCTCGCTTGGGCCGGGCGAGGCCGGCCTCCCGGATCGGGCGAGGGCTCGACCTCGCGGCGTCGGGCGAGGCCGACCTCGCCTGGCACCGGCGAGGCCGGCCTCGCCCGACGCCGGCGAGGCTCGACCTCACCGGCAGCGGCGAGGCCGGCGAGGCTCGACCTCGCTCGCAACCGGCGAGGCCGGGCTCGCCCGACGCCGGCGAGGTCGAACCCTCGCCAGATCTGCAGCTTCTTCTTTTTTTTTTTTTGAACCGAGCCCAGAACCGGTGGTTCCGAGCCGGTTCAAAAATTTCTGGAACCGGAATCGGGCCCGTAGGGCATGGGCCGGTTCCGGTTCCAACTGCGGGCCCGGGTTTGACCGGGCCGGTTCCGGTCTGGTTCCGGGCCGAAACCGGCCCGTGGCCATGACTACAGAGAGATGATCTAAAACGACAACGAACTATATTTTACTTTTTTGTTTTTTTTTTGTAAATCAAAAGAATAAGGAGCGTCCGACAAGCTATCATGATTTGGGCCGATTGGCCTCGGTTAAAGGAGTGTGCAGTGCCTGGCAAGTCCATTCACCAAGCCAGACTTCCTTTTTAAGGATCGATGTTGGGGCTACTAACATGAAATGTCTCACTATGATAAATCGTTCAATGTCTCCCATCAATTTGGGCATCTCACCATCCCAATTGAGGCATGCGTCTTAATTCAACATAACAACTTGCTTCGGTCTGTCATACATATCACCAATAGAGTGGCATCATCTCCTAACTAGTTTGTGCTTGGGTAGCTCACCCCACTAATAGACATTTTTCACATGATATTACTTTCATCACTTGATTCCTAGCACAAATTCCTCGATACCACTCTCACCATCTAGTTGTATCAATTATATTGAACCCCTCATGTTTTTCTCGCTATTACGGAGCTCACTTCCATGCCTTCATGGAATGAGGAAATGTCGGATAATGACATTCTCTCCCACTTGATTTTCACAATGCCCTCACTGTGAGCTATTCTTCACATCCTGAATTCTCCGAACCATCACAGCATCTCCCTAGATCACTGCCTTTCCCTAAGCTTTACGCGAATGGCCTACGCTGGCCCAACAAGTACACATCTTTTGTCTTTTCTATGAGTCATACTCAAGACCAACAAAGGGTTTTCATCTCTATGGAAACATGGTAGCGGACAGCATATCCACATACAATTTGGGAACCTTCTTCTGATACCATTTGTCACAACCTGAGCCGATTAGCCTCGGTCATGGGACTGGGCAACGCTTGCTGGGCCAATTAACCAAGCCAGTCTTCCTTTCTAAGGATCGTTATGATGGGTTGTACCGTGAAACACCTCATTGTAACTGATCGTTCCATGTCTCCCATCGATAAGGACATCTCATCATCCCGAGCGGGGCATGATCTCGATTCAACATAACAACTGGTTTCGTAGCAGTATGATTAACAAGTGTTGGGATACTCATTAACAAGATCCATTTCAAATTGTGTAGCAATTCGATATATTAAAGCATGATAAGGTTGCTGTAAATAATGTAAGATTGAAACGCATTCAAGTTCAGTCTACCTCAGTATTTGGAAAAATGGTTTTGTTTCCTCGAAAAAAGCGAAAGAACTTTCAAAAAGAGAATGGGTCGAATTGAATCGACAAAGATTGTGAAAGGGTCCTCTATTGACTTTGGAAAGATAAGTAAATGACATTAAATGCAAAGAAAATTAAAGTTCAAGAACTGAAAACAAAATGTTGCAAGAAAGTAAATATTTGAAAATAATAAAAGATAGACAGACATGCTGTCCTTAATTGCGTAAGTGGTCATTACAAAGATTACATCGTTAGTTTTTATATCCCACTAACTTCGGTTATTACAGACGGCTATGAATTTTGAATCTAGAATTAACTTCAGAATCAACTTCTTAATACTAGACACATTCTCCTATTATCTAGTAATGATAATCCACTTAAATTTACAAATCCCGAAAATATTGGCATTACCACCTAGCAATTATGTGCTCTTGTCCATCCATCTTTTGTCTTCGACCGATGTGTTGCCAGCCTTATGTTCTATTTAATTTTTGCACTACTGCAACACTCAAAATCTAAGATAGCTTCCTTACCAAAAAAAATCTATGATAGCTTATGTCAATGGTTTTGTCAATCAATTTCTCTGAAGTCTTAGTGAAGGCTTCCGTCGATAACTCTCGCACTGGGTTTTACCAATTTCCTTCACTGTCAACAAGCTTGTAGTTCGTTGATTATCTTGTTCACTAATGACTTCTGTTTTAACCCAACTTTTTTAATAATAAAGAGTTAATCATTTTTGGTAGCAACAAGTTCAAAGCAACTCTTTTCGGTATATACTTGTCATATTGTAATAACAACTAATGATTAGCATATACACGCTTGGCCTATTGCTAAAAAGTTAAAAAAAAAGCCATAAATCCGGGAGATACTCCTTCACCCTAAGAGTGGATTTTGCCTAAGTGCATAGTACTTTGTAGTCGATCAAGCGAATCCGCAACTCAGATAAAAGTATAAGAATTGGGTCTTCAAGTATACATGTGATCAATCTGGCCAAAAAAAGAAAATTGGTAATGTGAAGGTTAAAATCAAGAATAGTTTCACCATGAAAGGGAAACACATTTCTTTATTTCGTTTACTAGGAATCAGTCACAAAATTATTCCAAACCCGAAATAACTTATTGTTTTCTAGTATAAGAACAACCCAATATAACTTCAACAAAGGCAGATAATCACACCATGAACTTAATTGAAAAGGAAAATAGAACAAAGAAAAGAAAACAATAACTTCGGTTACATAACAAGCATTGGCACAGCCTCTTCCTTGGCTTATCGGGGCCAATCAACCGTGCCACTTCCAGGGGCGAGGAAGCGACACCACAGAGAACCGCATCTTCCCGGTGGAGCAGTGGAGGCCGCTGCTCTCGCCGCATGCAAAGAAGTAAAACTTCCACTTCTGGCTCAAGGTGAACTCGAAGCCATCTCCTGCCCCGTCCGACACATTGGCCATCATGGTCGCGCTCTTGAGGTCACACCTCATGTAGCTCCAGAAGTTCTGGAACACGTAGACGCTGTGTGGATGCGTGTTATTGTCGCTCGGTGGGTCGAACTTGAACACTGCAAGTACCAAAATGAATGTTGTTTGGAATAATAGATCACAATAAATGATCCGGATATAATTGTTAAGCATGCTTAACGAGAAAACATTCATTTTCTAAAGTATTGATCGTCCATATATTAGTGTAGCCAGTTCCAATATTTCCTTTCCTATGTGATCGATTAAATAGTGCCACGGACGACTTTTCTACAAAACCCGTACTGCTACTTAGACTACTCATTTTTTGTTTGGGAAGGATCAATAAGGCGATTCTGCTTCTTAATTATCTTCAAAAGGCATTTTTTTACTAAGTAATTATCCTCGAAAAACATAAGCACTCTACTTCTACTTGTTATGCATAAGATTGCATTATACACAAGTCTCATCATGAGTGAATGTCTAGACAATAAAGTCGTGTGAGGACGAATTCGTATCGATTCTAATACCATGAAGATCATCGATCAATCTCCAAATATGGGACACAATAGATCCTGAATCCAGATATGAATAAATGAGCTATAGCAGCGACTTACCGAGAGTGTCGTTGACGTAAAAGGGGCTGTTCTTGTGAGCCCAGGCGCTGTAATCGAACCCAAAATGCCAATTCTCTGACCCTCCGACGACGATCTTCTTTGGAGGGACCTCGGCAGGACCGTCGTCTTGGTTCGGAGGCCAAGCGTAGCCGTTGTTGTTGTTCCACCCAGGATAGGCCATGGAAGCTCCCATCATCGCTGAAGCTATCACGACAAGCATCATTGCTCCTCCAAATTTCATGGCCATTATTTTCCTGATTTGGAGGATAATTAAGAAACTGGACAAGTATAAACCTTTAGATGTTGGGGAGCTGGTTGGTGCATTTGATGAATGTCCGATGGGCTTTTTATATGAGTAACTTCGTGGATTTTTTTCTTCTTTTTTGAGGTTTCTAGTGAAAGGTGGTGGTGGAAAATGGCCAAATAGACCTTTTATTGTCTTTTTCAATAGATTGGGTTGGTCTGAGACGGCGAGTTAATGTGTTTTCACTGTTAAGAGTCAACTCGAGTCGTTCATTTCTGGTTCTTGAGTATGTCTCTCCAAGAAATACAGGCGTACAGCAAGGGTAGATGTAGAGTACTCTACCATGTTCGATGAGTACCCCGATGTCGACGAACTATACAAACATTCCGTCAAATAGATCCATATTGCCCGCCTCTAAAATTTAAAAGGGATAAGGGCATCAAGAATTCTAAAAAATTATCGTGAAAGTGCAATCGAGCTCGAAAACTTTCAAATAATACAATCAAATCTTAAAACTTATCAAATTGGGGGCAATATAGTCTCTCCGTTAATTCCATATAATTTTAGAGCTCAATTACACGTCGTGATAAGTATTTTTTATAATGTACACGTACGAATGTGGTGAAACAATCTAATGATAATTTGTTGTACGGGCTTGCTGTGGGACTGATCGAACTTGGATATGGTTGAACTAACAACTTTTGTGTGAGAGAAAGAGAGGGAGAGGGAGAGTATGAATGTGGTGAAACAATCTAATGATTTGTTGTATGGGCTTACAAGGGAACTGATTTACCCTAAATATGCTCGACATAGAACTAACAACATGAGAGCTAGGGGGGGGGGGGGGGGGGTGGGGGCGGAAGGGTTGTAGGGAGGTTTGTAATGGCAAAACATATGAACAACCTTTTGAGTGTGTTTGTAGAGCTTTCTCATAGTAATTACAGCCGGGGAAAAGGAATTTTGCAGCTTTTATAAGGTATTTGACAAATTTCTCACTTTTGCATTAATTTAAAATAACTTTTGGAAAGTTGTTTCAGCCAGTTTTGAGGTGTAACAACTTTATAACATATACTACTAAATATACAAATTACTATGCTCATAATATCAACAATGCGACATTGCTACAGTTACAACACATCACCATTATACCAAATCAGACACTTTGTCTGTCGATTATATACTCGATATTGGTTCGATGGCCATACTACTAAATGAAAACAATCACATATTTTGGCCATGTTTCACATTTTGATTGGTTTCTTGCCTAGTAGATGAAATCAGTGGAGTTCTTCATAGATGGTACTCTTACTACATAGACTAGGTATTTCCTCATTAGTTGTCGCTGAATTACCATCTCGTCGTTGTTGCTCTCTCTCTCTCTCCACCTCAAATGGTGACCCAACCTGACTCGATCCTAGATCTGGGGTAAACCAATGCCAACAACGTAGAATCTGTTCTCAACATGTTAGATCTAATGTTGCGAGCCTAGATCCCGAGAGAGAGAGAGAGAGAGAGAAGGGGGGGGTGGTGGCGGGGGCGCGGGGTTCTCGGGAACATGGATCGCGGCTTGAGCAGCGACGACCGCAGGATGAACTATTACTGTTACTGCTGCAAGTGTCATAGGTGGTCGTGCTCAGCCAGAGATGCAAAGCAAAGGAAGAGGGAGAAAGGCAGAAATGGGGGGAGAGCGAAAAAAGGAAGAAAAAGAAAATTAGATCTAGACCGTCCAACATACCTAGTAAGTGATGGGTCAACACCTTAAGGATAATTGGACATGCATATACAATTATCTTCTAAATTGAGATGATCTCAATCCCAATTTGCGTAGCAAATGGTTCTGTCCGTCGTATGACTAAACAAAGAAGTAGGAACACACAAAGAAAGAGTTCATAAGTTAGAGGCCGCCAAGTACCGTGCCCAACAACTCATACTTATGTTGGTCTTAGACAATTTTTTTGATAATGATTAAGTCAATAAAAACTGAATGAAAAGTATAGTCTCGTGGGTCGCAGCAAAGGAAATAAAATCAAGCAACGAATTCAACAAAAGGTGGCCTTTCAGCAATTAGCCGTACCCATCATTACCCCTTTGTCCTAATTAATCAGGCGCGTTTTGATTTGGTCCGTGTGGTAGGAAATTTCTCTGAGATGACCTCTAAATGACATCCAATGCATTCAATACGAAATACAACTTATGCAATCATACAACTATATTATTTTTCAAACTTGATCATTGCTCTCAAACTCAATCACTAGAGATAGTTTGGCGAGGGTACTTGTGCACTTTTCTCAATTATATAATCAAAGAATATAATGGCTTAAAGATCTTTCTACGATTGCACGACTTAAAAAAGGTTAGAGTCCCATTATTATATATAAAAAAGGAATAATGACTAAAATTGAACATGTTGGGAAAAAGTCGCGGAAGAAATTGACTAACCTTTCGATGCACAATCAAAGAATTACTTAGGAATGTGAATTGAATCACCAGCGAATGTTGGACGAATCTACAATTTCACCCCGGTCCGAATATAATCAAGAGCAAAATATTCTTGTTCCATAGCGTTAATGCCTATTGTCTTCTCAAAGTAACAATATAAGCCCTTTTTTGTGTATTATTCAATAGAGAGGAGAACATAACGTTACTTTTCTGTACGTTATCTTTTTGTTGTCTTCTTTCTCTCTCATCAAGAAGATATATTAACTTCGTTCAACCGACAACCAATGACACCCCTTCAAAGGGTGCCACATATACTCACATCCTTTCATGGGCGAAACGGTGCCAGAACATTTCTGAAAGCTTGAGGGTATCGAATTTCGGATTGACATATTCTAATTTTAGGATGATATATTTACATCTTAAACTTATCTTATTCAATGAGTGACATTTCAGAAACCCAATTGAAGGTTTAAATGGGTTGTAGGAGAAGATGAGCCAAAATGCCTCCTCGTGCTCCACACTTAAAACTTCAGAGAGTCGACCACTATCTGAATATGTTATTATTTTCTCTGAAGAATGTGTCATTATTTTGAGGGTGTCGATCCAAAGTTGACCCAAGCAAACTAAGTAAAATATAAAAAAGGAAGAAAATATAACAAAAGAATTTAAGTAAAGAGGCTAATGTTGTTTACCTGTTATAGCATTGACCGAGGTGGGAAAGCGAAGTGGTTGCGTAGTTACAAGTCCAGTTGCATTACGTTTGGGTGATGGGATTCTGACGATGGAGGAAGAAGCTCTCTTACTATGTAAAATGTAAGTGGAAAACCTTAAAAACCAAAACAAATATATTCGGGGAAAACTATACAAAAACACACATGAACTTTGGGAATAATACAGGGAAAATTACCAAAAAAGTCCTCAACCTATTGCATTTGTGCCAATTCAGTCCTAAACCTTTTAATTTGGCCAATTCAGTCCTAAACCTTTTGCAAACCAGCCAATTCAGTCCTTTTGGCCGGCCGGCGCTGACGTGGCCGCCGGCCGGCTGACGTGGCGCCGGCCGGCGTCCACGTGGCAATATTTTAATATTTTTTATTATTCTTTTCGAATTTTTTTCTTTTTTTTTTCTTTTCCTTCTCCCCCCTGGCTTGTTCGGCCAGGGGGGAGGCTCGCCGGCGAGGGCCCAGCTCCGGCGAGGCGAGCTGGGCCCTTGCCGCCGCTGGGCGAGGGCAAAGCTCACCCAACCAAGGCGAGCTCCGCCTCGCCGGAGCTGGGCGAGCCTCGCCCTGCCATGGCGAGCTTCGCCTCGCCAGATTTAGGCGAGGGCGGAGCTCGCCCAACCAAGGTGAGCTCCGCCTCGATCCGAGGCGGCGCTCGCCCAGCCATGGCGAGCTCCGCCTCACCATATCTCGGGTGAGGCGGAGCTCGCCCGGCTCCGGCGAGGCGGAGCTCGTCCATCCATGGCGAGCCGGGCCCTCGCCGCTCGCCCAGCTCGCCATGGCTGGGCGAGCTCCGCCTCGCCGGAGCTGGGCAAGGGGGAGCTCGCCTTGGTTGGGAGGGCTCCGCCTTCGCCCATATCTGGCGAGGAGGAGCTCGCCATTGCAGGGCGAGCTCCGGCGAGGCGGAGCTTGCCTCGCTAGAGCTGGGCCCTCGCCGGCGAGCTTCCCCCCTAGCCGGACAGGCCAGGGGGAGAAGGAAAAGAAAAAAAAAAGAAAAAAGAAAAAAATTCGAAAATAATAATAAAAAAATATTAAAATATTGCCACGTGGACGCCGGCCGGCGCCACGTCAGCCGGCCGGCGGCCACGTCAATGCCGGCCTGCCAAAAGGACTGAATTGGCTGGTTTGCAAAAGGTTTATGACTGAATTGGCCAAATTGAAAGGTTTAGGACTGAATTGGCACAAATGCAATAGGTTGAGGACTTTTTTGGTAATTTTCCCGAATAATACATGTTTGCCTTGAACTTCTAACTGATATATGATGCCCCACTAAACTTTCATTTTGTTATGGCCATTAACTTTCCGTAATTTTTTCATTAACATGTGCAATGCACATGACTTTTGGGTGGTAAAAGTGTACTTTTATCTTAACTTTTTTTTCTAGGAAATCTCTTTCTTACCCTCAATTTTTGTAAACAAATGGAAATTAATATAGAAAATGGAAGAAAACTTGATTGACTAAAATGCTATTAGTAGAAAAAATTGCCAATAATAATGTTAATGATAAAATTTGTTTAACTTTGACAAATATAGCCGCTTTAATAAACCTAAATAAGATATGTTTAAGAAAAAGAGTAAACACAAACTAAAAGACAAAAAAAGTTAAAACGAGTAAAAAATACAAAGGCTAAATGACTAAAATTAGTTACTAATTATGTCCATTTATAGGGCTCGCGAATGTAAATAACGATTGATCAATAACAAAATTCTTAGAAAATTATAAAAGGAAATGATGTTCTCGACTCCTAAAAGGAAATGATTAATCAAATCAAGGTGATTTCTTTAATTATCTTCTTGTTTTTTTTTCCATAAATTAACCAATTAAAATTGCATAATGAGTATCCA